TTTGCTGGTTTATATTCCGATAAATATTTCATTATAAGGCCCGATGATTTGTGTAATGTATCACGTTTGGGCAGAATAATTGTCGTTGCTGTAACAACTTGTATAATACATATTGCCATTAGGATTTGCATCGTCGTGTTGTGTTGCATCTTCTTTTAACTAAGTTATGAAATGTACCTGGCGCTTGTTAATGGAGAAATAATCCTCCTCCTCCTTCTTCTTCTTCTTCTTCTTTTTCTTCTTTTTTTTTTTTTCGAAGTGCATCGATTCGATTCATTGGTTGTTTAATGATAATTTCGTTTCTTTCGCTAGAAGCGATTGGTTTTCATGGTTGACCGCGTAGATATATATGTATATATATATATATATATATTTTTTTTTTTTTTTTTTTTCCATCTGCTTACGTGTCGAATCGATGATATCAGCTATGGTTTAATTCGCCATGTATCGTGTCGGCACCCTGCGGTGACGATTTGACACTCGGCGTTGAATTGGTTGATGACAGGTTGATTGTGGATTTTGTCTCTCCTTTCCTTGATCTAGATCATCTATTGATGGCTCGTCATTATTGATTGACGTTGTCGTTTCTCTTGGATTGATTGTTTTGTCGTTTGTTGTTGTTTCTTGATTGTTTCTCTGTAGTACAATGTATGGTTTGAGGCGATCCGTATTCGTTGCCCCAAGTTCAACGTTATCCTTTAGCCGTCGTACCGTGAATGTATTTGATGATAATTGCTGGATTAGACGGCATGGACCTTGATAATGTGGTTGTAATTTTCCACCCATTGAATTGTCTCCAATTTGTGCTGTTGGAGTGGCTACCCATACGAGATCACCTTCAGTATATTCTCTTTGTGTTGTATGTTGATCATATTTTTCTTTTTGTTTTATCTTTTCAATTTCTGCATGTTCTTGACTAACATTATATGCACATCGTAAATTGTTGATCAACTTTCTCTTGTATTCTTGAATTAATCCGTGATCAACTGTTGTTGATCTAGGTCCTTCTGTTGTTTCACCAACTAATAGATCAAGTGGACCTCTGAGATCTCGACCAAACATCATAAAAGCTGGGGTTTCACCTGTTGTTTCGTTCACCGCGGTACGTATTGCAAATGCTAATGTTTGAATTTCATCGTCCCATGAATTGTGTTGTTGTTGAGCATATATGGCAATTAACGGCTTTAATGTTCTATTGACACGTTCTGTCATGTTGCTTTGTGGGTGATAATTTGCAGTTAAATTTTGTTTAATACCTAATGTATCACAAAAATTTTTAAATAAATTTGAGACGAATTGCGGGCCATTATCAGATACAATGTGTTGTGGCAATCCATATCTTGAAAATACTTCGTTCATGAGAATATTGGCCATATCGGTAGATGTAGTTGACTTCAGTGGGAATAGTTCGATCCATCTGGTGAAGTAGTCTACCACGACGAGAAGAAATCGTTTTTGTCTGGCCGTTGTCGGTAAAGGACCCATAATGTCTATGCCGATCGTGTGCCATGGTTCATTCACTAAGTGCATTTGCATTGGGTTTGCTGTTGGAGCATTATTGTATTTAAATTGTTGACATTCTTGACATGCAGCTATATACTTAAATACATCTTTTCTCATTGATTTCCAGTATACTCTTGTTGATAATCTAAATAATGTTTTTTGTTGGCCCCCATGTCCAGCTGTTGGATGATTGTGCGCCCATTCCAATAATTTATTTTGCATTGCTCTTGGAATAATTAGCAGATGTTTTGCACCCACGATACGTTGATTGTAATGTTTATTGGCGTTTTTAATTTTGTACAATAATCCATTTATAAGAATGTGGGGATTACGTTTATCATTAAAATCTGTTGATGGTTTTGTTTTTAATAATTCTATTATTGGTTTTAATTTGGAGTCAGCTTCTTGTTCTTTTCTTACATCGTCAAGAATGTTTGTATTTTGCCATAAGTTAACAACTGTTTCGATTGTTGACACTTCGAGTTGATTAATATCATCATTTGGTAATGGATTGCGTGATAACGAATCGGCGTTAGCGTTTAATTTTCCCGGACGATATTTGATTTCTTCAATTTGATAAGCAGATAATTTCATCGCCCACCGGGCCAATCGACCTGTTACATCTTTTGCCGTACGCATCCATTCTAATGCTTTACAATCTGATCTAATATAAATTTTATTACCTTCGAGGTATGGACGAAAATATTTTGTTGCCCATACAATGGCTAATGCTTCACGCTCTGTCGCTCCATATTTTCTTTCGGCAGTTGATAATGTTCGACTTGCGTAAGCTATTACATATTTTCCCCCATCATATTCTTGTGTTAATATGGCCCCTAGGCCATATTCACAA